GTATACAGTGTAACCCGGATATAAGAGACCCGGATATAAGAGAAACCTGGATATAAGAGAGATTGTCTCTGGTCCCAAAGTGTTCCCATACTTACCTAAATAAAATAGACCAAACCCGGATATAAGAGAAACCCGGATATAAGAGACTTCTTCTCCGGTCTCGACAACTCTCTTATATCCGGGTTACACTGTACATTGATTCAACCTCAAATGCTGAATCAATAAGTTCGTAGCCTGGAGCGGTTATCAGCCGAATTTTGATCTGAAAATTTCACTGTATAATGCCAGATCTACTTGATTAGTACTGATCATTGAATCAGTAACCCTGTAACAACTAAGGAGGAGATTGTGCTTAAAAATCTAAATGTACTGCTTCTCGGTATGCGTCCGTCAGGCGCGCGTGCGTAACTTAGTCAGCCAGATAAACGGCTTACGCCAATCAAAACGCTGATGACAAAAAAACTTGTTCATCAGCAGGTTTATTGAAAACCAAAAGGTTGAAATTAGAAAAAAAAATACCAACTTGAGACTAGTTTAGTCCGAATAACAAAATAAATAAGAAGGTAAAAAGGAAGGAAAAGTAGAAAATATGACAAAGAAATCCAAATTCTTAACATAACTGAAGACTGAGGGTCTAAATGACTAAAGTAGGTAGCAAGTAAGGAATATGATTTACAAGAATATGTATTACACTTGACTGTCATAAGTCTACAGAAAGGGAAAAAGTTACATGAAGTTATAGTATGACACAATGTGAGAACAGTCAACACATGGGAAAATGTGTTGTACATGACGAATTACAATATAAAAAATAAATGTGTCCAAGATATAGTCTTTAACCTTTACCACACTAAAGGCGACAATAATCGCTGTAGAATCCTTTCCTTTGCAACTCTAGGCACATTCTGTCGCCTTGAGACGTTTGCTATAAATAAACACTTTTCAACTGTTATTTCCGGTATTTTTAGCTGGATATCGCCTACTACTACTTTGGAACAAAGCTAAACTTCCGTTTTCCAACGCCATTTTGAATTCTTCTAGACTCTACACACGGTGTAATATCGATTAAACCCACGTTAATTTTTCGGGATTTTTTGTAAACAAAAGTGGCCGCGTCAATAAAGCCTTTATTCAGGAGTTTTTCTTTGATTAAGACGCCGATGATTTTGAAGGCTTTACTCGAGTGGATATTGACGGCGAATTGATAATAATGATGATAACCACGCTAGTGACGTGGAGGAAAGCGATGATGACCGCTATCGGCTATTATCATCCATACATAACTAATTTTATGGAAGCTGCTGGTGACGATCGATATATCTGATGGTCTTTCTAAAGGTGAATTATTTTGTCTATTTAGAAACAACGAAATAATATATTTGTCTCGTTGATGAATAAAGTCGAGTCGGGTGAAAGAAAGAGCAAATAAATGCTAGTGTCTTCTCGTATGTAAACACGAAGAGACACGTTACGTCTTTGACGAAATGAAAGCGTTATTAGCGATTTTGCTTCTCATTGCACCCCCAGAACTCCACAAGGTTAATAAAAGTACGTTGAATTATTTATGTATTTTTTAATGTATTTGATTTTTTTTTTATTTTACGTTTCAATTTTTGTTTTCAACGTCAAAACATGCATGCAAAACGTAATGCATTACATCAAAATATTACTCATCATTCTTTTATTAGTGTACAAAAATTAAAATCTATACGCACAATACAAAGAAAGGTATAACAATTTTAAAACAGTAGATATTCGTGTTTTTACACTATAAAAAATGCAGTGGCAGGGGGAACAATTTTAGAAAGAAATTTGCATGGTAAAGGTTAAACAAATGTACAAATATGTGTGCGACATCCTTCGGTATCGAGAAACATTGGATCTGCTCCCAAAGATTTATGCTTCTGTTGCTGGTAGCGGTCTAGCATCTGTTATGGCTTTACAGGCCCCCACGGGAATGACCGTCTCGATTGCAATGATTGCATGTGAAAACGTTCTCCCCTGATGTCGTAGTGTTGTTTTCTCTCCGTCGAGGACGCTTTTCCCCAGCGGCAAACATTCGTTTCTCCTCTCCTCGCTCCAGCCCTCGGTGTAAATCGCGTCTACAGCGTAAGCAACTCTTGGCGACGTCTTTCCACTTTTCGATGTCCATGTCCAGTTGTTGTATCGTCGTAACAGATCAGAACACTTATAAAAACCATAAATCACATTTTCTTTCAGTGCCATCCAGCATTCATCAGGGGTTTGTCATCCGGGTAACCTTCGGGGAATTTCAAACTGAAACCTTTATTTAATCTATGGTAATGAATTGTTCCCGTTCTGCAGTCCATGTCTAGAACTTTCTCATCTAGTGCCATGGTACAATAGCTAAGTGAATTAAACTGTTGCTTTGTGAATTTGGTGACATAATTAGTATGGGCTAAACAGGAAGTGCTCTCCTTATTTATTTTTCAAAATATTATTCTAGACATTTGGAAAAAAAACATTATTCTAATTTTGAGGGAATGGGTCTCTTTGACTTGGCATCAGTATTCCTGCATAAGAGTTATAATGAAATTTTTGTATGTGTATGTTAAGACAGTGAAGGGAAATATACTTGACAGGTGACTATATCTGATGACATTGTGATTGCACTTTACCTTTGAATACACCTGGCAAACAGGAAGTGTTAAAAAAACGGTGACTAATCTAAAGTGTACCTAATTTAAAAATGTAACAAGCAGGCGTAAAATAAACCAACAGAGGTACTGTACTGAGGTAAATATTTAAATGTTTGTTTTTTGTTTGTTTTGTTTTTGGGGGGTTGTCTTTTTTCATCATTATGTTTCGAGAAAAGAGGAGCTTTCTATTAACGTTGCTTCAGAAAGATGCTAAATATTCTTTGATCTTACCTCATGCCAGACTATGTTGTCCTTGAGCTAACTCAATCAGAATATGTAGAAACGATTATTAATAAATATCGACTATAGTAAGACTTTGGAGTGGTCGTTTCGATAAAAAAAATCTTCTATGGAGAACTTTAAAACAGTAAGCAGATTCTATACAAGACTAAGAAACGTTTCAATGATTCCTTATTAACATCTCTTTAAATATATTTGGTCTATGTAGAGAATCGTGGAAGATAAATGCACAAAAAAAAAACAAATAAAGCAAGAAGTGGAAACAAGCTCTAGCTTTGAAGCAGTTCTTTATACTGAAGAATGGTGTTTCCTACAGAAACGCACCAAGAAATAATTTTTATCGACTTTTTTTCTCTACTCATATCGAATAAGCATTCTAGATCACGAATATCAAAACCGGTGCGAATTTTAAATCTTTTTACGTTAAAAGTGAAAATGGAAGAAAATGGGATTAAATTTTGTCATTTGATGCACTTTATATCCAGAAAAGAAAAAAAAACACATTACAAACAAAAAATATATGCGCCATTTATTAAGATGGTGCCATAGCTGAGAATACTGTTCGTAAGTGGTTTGCTAGTTTTGAAAGTGGAAATTTTGATCTGGAAAACGGAGATCGTTCCAGCAGTTCTGTAGTCATTAGTGATGACGAAATCAAAACACTGATTAAAAATAATCCCAACCACACGACACGAGACATCGTAGACATATTCCCCATATGTCGTATGAGTTTTGTAAGGCATCTGAAATCGTTAGAAAATCGCTACAATGTTTGGATGCCTCACGACTTCACGGAAAAAAATTAATGAACATAATTTCCGTTTTCGATTCTCTTTAACAATTCATTTTTTTACAAAGAGGGGTCACAGGCGGTGGAAAAGAACTCGTTTACAACAATGTTAAGCAAAAACAAAAAAATTACTGGGGAAACGAAAAACATTGGTTTGCACCAGAATAAGGTGATGCTGTATATCTGATTGGACTGGAAAAGCATTCTGTATTAAGAGCTTCTTCCGGAAATTTAGAAATCGATTTCAGACAAGTACCGTTCGCAATTAGACCGATTAAATGAAGAGATCAGTGAAAAGCTTTTGGATTTGACCAATGGAAAAGGCGATGCCTTCAATTGAGAAAGCTCATGTTTCTTTGAGATCGGACAGGAATTTGTAGAGCTGAGTAGGTATGGCCTACGACACACACACACAGACACACACATAAAAGCAAAGAGTGGAAACAGACTCTATCTTTAGGGGCATTTTTTTTACTGTACTGAAGAATGGTGCCACATACAGAAATGTACATCTCCAAGAAATTTTTTCCCTACTCATATCGAATAAGCATCACGAACAACAAAAACATTGTTCTCTTTTTTACATTTTTTAATTTTTGAAAGAAGGAGAATCACTTTTCTGCGTAAATTCATTGTAAACCGAACCGCTAAAAGCTAAAATATATATTCATACTACGTAATGAAGCATATTCTTACCTTACAAAATTTTGAATAATTTCATGTTGAAATAAAAAAAAAATGTTAATATTTGTATTATTTAAAACATATTCTTATTTACCTATTCCCTTTATTATTATTATTATTATTATTATTATTATTATTATTATTATTATTATTTCTTTTGATTTTTGGTGTATGCTCATTTCTTTCTTTATCCCGATCAGAGACATGAGGTCAGAAATGGCATCATAATATTTTCCATTGAGCATTTGTGCAAAAAGAAAAACCCAAAGATCACACATATTTTACATAGATAAAGCTCTTTGTAATGTGTGAGTTGTACTTGTGAGTACAATTTTTTTTGTATTTCTTTAAAGCATGGGCTACCAGGAATCCCTTTAAATGAGTCTGTCGAACTATTTTCCAATCAATCCGAGAGCTCCAGATACAACTAATCTCCTTATGTGCCATATTTTTGAGATTTCGATTTCAAGGTCCTTGTATTTTGAAGATAAATTCCAATCTACAGGGTCCACCATGTCAATAAGAAAACACATTCTTTTCTTGTGGTCTTTGATCACAAATGTCTGGACGATTAGATTTGATTGTTCTATCTGTGTGTATTGTGAGGTCACATAAAATTGTTACAGGTCCTATCTATCTATCTATCTATCTATCTATCTATCTATCTATCTATCTATCTGTAACCACCTATCTCTATCTATCTATCTATCTATCTATCTATCTATCTATCTATCTATCTATCTATCTATCTGTAACCACCTATCCCTATCTATCTATCTATTATTATTATTATTATTATTATTATTATTATTTCCCTTACATTTATTTATTTATTGGCTTATGTTAAGGATAAATTTGCAATCAGTTTTCATAATAAACAAAACTCCCCCTCTTAAAAATGAGAAAATTACTCTTTTATATTCTTGATCGGAGTGGGGGTCATGTGGGGGGGATTTCTTAGTCAATAGGGATATAAAGAAGAAATTTAAAAAAAAGGATTATTTTTTAAAGAGTTGCAAAAAAATGTATGAACCGAAACAAAAACAGTCAATGAGAAAGAAAGATTTTTATTGACTCATCTGTGATTTAATTGGTTTTCTAGATTTTTACCGTGTCTGCTTATCACAAGATGGGTTAAAAAGACGTTAGAAATCATGTGCAGTGACATCACGTTGAATACATATGTTACTGTCTACAGGGGGGACTTGATTTATACCTTATGTCATAAAACTATGTACGAACAAGTCTAGCCACACAAAACATGATAAGGTACATAATATCAAATTTGTCAGCAGGGCAACAGAACTTTTAAAAGCCTTTTTGCTTTCAAAAGTCATTGCAAATCGCATGAGCAGACAGAAACAGCAGATCCATAGTTCTGGTGCACGAATTGTTATCTTCGAAATTGAAACCTTCATATTCCATACCAGATCGAAAGATGCATTTGCTTCTTTTTTTATGGAAGAGCGTAGATTGATGGTGAACTGGTGTTCAAGGGGTGTCTGCGTGTTCATTATGTCTGTATTTTGATGTATCCGTTATTAGTTACGTTTTGGTAGGGGTAGGGATGTATTTTTCAATGAAATCTAACATCCGTTAAATGCATGTCGTCTGGATAATGAACACGCAGACACCCCTTGTCTGGTGGAAGTGGATTTATCTGTAACCTTGGAAACGTGAATTATGATTTTAGCTGTGTTTTTAAAACCCAGTAATTCTAAAAGTTACTCCAAAATTCGCTTGAGGATGAAATGGAACTAACGTCTTTAATTTAATTACAAAATTAAATTCGGAACTTTTAGCCTCCATTTTTGAAACATGGTTAGAACTGTGTAGCGAAAAAAACATATTTTAAATCAATTAATTTATAATATTAATGTTCTTTTAAAATTTATATTGAGCACTATTTTGTAAAAATAAAATATCTATAAGAACACCGGATTATATATCTTACTTTTTTTTTTTTTATATATATATATATATATATATATATATATATATATATATATATATATATATATATATGAGTAAGGAATAGATAGGTAGGTAGGTAGAGAGAGAAAATGTTGCGTGCAATTGAAGTTCACCTTAATTTCATAAAGAGTTGCTCTAACTGGTTTGCACCCAGTAAAGACCAAAGTCATTTTATTTACAATTGTCTGAAAGTAGAGTTTAATAAACATCGTTGTATGGCAGACATTAGGCTATTTTAGACTGCGATATATTTATACTAAGTGAGTATCGAACTCACTACCCGGTTATCGTAAGCAGATATTTGCTAATCTTATCTTAGATTATCGCAGCGCTAAAATGTTGAGGCATCCAGTATGGATCGAACTCGCTTGTCAGACTTCTTTCGCTAACCCGTGGTGTACGTTAGGCGCCCTCAGACGAACCACCGGACACATGCGCGAATTAAATATAAGTACATTTATAAAATATATTCCTGTCAGAAAAGAAATATATATATATTTTATATCAGAGAGAAACCTCTCCGATTTCATACTGGGATTTAAAATTTTCATGGAGTACTTTTCAAGAGGGTATCACGCCATAACCATGTGCACTTTAAGGTCTGTAGCACTCTACTGACATGAGGCCGCATTCGGCAGGACACTGACTGACAGCCGGAGGGTGGAGACAGGAATTCCCAGTTGTATGTAAATTTATGCGTTTTCTCGCCATCCATGGAAAAAGTATTTGGTCAATCGTTCAAAAAATGGAAATGCGGAAATTATGAGATTTGAATTTGCGATTCCCTAGACGGCCTGAAATTCTACATATGTCTCTAACTTCTAAACATCTAACACATGGACAAATATATTTTCAAAGACTTGGTTAAGTCACTTAGTGAACTTTTCAATTTTTCAAATATGTGCTATTTTCTACCGACAGCTACCTGTAACTATTTTTTTTATCATACTTATGATAAAACCCAGGTTGTGTGTGTGTCTGTTCGTTTGTATATTGGATCGGATTTCCTACATTTTTCAACCGATTTCAACAAAACTTCACAGGACTACGTAAAATTACCTTGCGGTGGTTCTGACAGTGCCAAAACTTGAAAAAACACAATTGTTTTTGCACGAAATCAATTTGAAAACACGATTAAGAGGCATCGTTGTCGCGAGAATGAAAGGGGGACAACTCGTATCGATTTATACTTATTATAAAACCCAGGTTGTTTGTGTGTGTCTGTGTTCGTTTATATATGGGATCGGATTTCCTACATTTTTCAACAGATTTCAACAAAACTTCACTTTTTTTTTGGCAGGTAATGTTTCTTATTGTCTTGCACACTTTTTTCTTTATTTTTACATTCAGAATGCTTTAAAAATTCCATTTACAAGACAATTGTTTATAATAAAATTCTATTCAATCGGTAGACTCATAACGATTGAAAACAATGTTTTTGTTTGAGTTTGTTTTGACTAATTCGTAAAAAAAAAAAATAAAACTAATTAAGACATGCGTGTCCGTCAACCTTAAACAATAATCTTTGTCAATTTTATTTTTCAGTCTTTATGATGGTCGATACTTGATCTATCTCTTACTGTTACATCCCCGGGCTCTACTCTTAGTATATTAATAAAGACTGGCCGCTCGTATGCGAGTATGCCTGTCTGCTAGAGCGGCTGTTCAATTCCTGTTGCAGACGCCTGCCCATGCACATTTGTGTTTGTTCAACACCCACAGAGCCCACCTATGATTTATACTGCGGACATTTAGTTATAGTTTCTGGGTGAGATCGCATTATCTGACATGGCCAACAGTCTGAACAAGGCCAGCCCGTTCAGGCCTTCGGTCTCGATGACATGTGACTTCGTGTTGGCAAAACCATCAACGAATCCTCAATATTTCCATCAACGTAATCTCACTCACAAGCTTTGGGTCATTCAATGTTATGGTTTCCAATGTTGCGCTTGCCGGTATCGCCTCCTTTCGATAACATCAAGAAGTCACCTTCCTAACAAATTGAACATGGCGATTTTATTAATGTTCACCAATAAAAGGTCTAAGAGCCATTCAATATAGAGGGATACTCTATGGCGTTGTATGAGCTTAAGAAAAGGTAAGAAATTAAGTTCATGGCGTTATGCAAGAAAAGATAACGTTTAACCCAATATCTAAAGAGGTTAAGATTTTAATGATTGGGGAAACCGTAGAACTAAACAAAGAAACAAACAATGCAGAGATCGAACAGAGCAGCAGTTTTGGGAAAGAATCTCTGCGGGTGGAACTTACTCCTTACTAATACGAACTTGTCGGCTTCTGTCAGTCAGGTTTTACCATGGGTAGCATCCTAGTTGTCTATTTGGTTGGAACATCGACGTTTATAACTGTAGAGGTCGATGCGCAAGTGACAATCTCTGTTGCATGTGTTTTCTGTCTCTGGTCTGTTCAAGCTGTCACTTTGCTTTCTCTGGGTTCGCCTTTTCGTGGCGACTTGTGCCAGTTTCTCCTCCCCTGACTTGAGGAGTTTGGTTAAGGTTCCTCTCCATTTGGATCGTATGGCTGCCAGATTCTCCCAGGAATCTGTTGATATCCACAGCTTTCATGTCGTGCCTTACGTAGTATCGCATCTGTGGCCACCCGGCGGGTCGCCTTCTAGCGGCCATCTCTCCATACAGGAGGTCTTTGGGGATACGGCCGTCTGGCATGCGATGGACGTGGCCCAACCAACGGAGTCTGCACTCTCTGAGCAGCGTGAACATGTTGGGCAAACCTTCTCGGGACAGGACCTCAGTGTTTGGCACCTTGTCTTGCGACGCTATTCTCAGGATGTGGCGGATGCTTCTCCTTTGAAAGGAGTTCCATGAGACAATACGAACTTACTCCTTACAAATACGAAGGGAATAAGAATAATTCATCCTTGTGTACATGGCATGGCGGGTCCTAGTTGTAAAGGTCAGAGCTGGAGGAACCAAGGAAATTTCCAATAGGTGGCATGTGAAAACGAGACTTCATTTCACGTATCGCTTACAATATAATATATATAAATATTCCGAAAGGTGACATTTCAACGCGTTTTTCTATGCGATTTGGCTATGGATTGTGAATTTTAAATGTTTATACGTTAAAATGAAAATGGAAGAAAATGAGATGAAATTCCATTTGATGCACTTTATATCCGGAAAAGTAAAAAAGAACACTGTATAAACAGCAAAGATATGTGTGCAGTTTATGGAGATGGTGCCATAGCTGAGAGTATTGTTCGTAAGTGGGTTTCTAGTTTCGAAAGTGCAAATTTTGATCTGGGAGCCCGAGACTTTCCAGAAGTTCTGTCGTCATTGGTCAAAACACTGATTAAAATAATCCCGGCCACACGACACGACACGACACGAGACATCGCGGAGATATTTCTCATATTAGTGAAAACTCATTAGAAAACATTTGAAAATCACTACGATGTCTGGATGCTTCACGTTTTCACGAAAAAGATTAATTTCCTTTTCTATTCTCTTTAGCAAAGCAACTCATTTTTTTTTTTAAAAGAAGGGTCACGGGTGATAAAAAAGTGCTCGTTTACAATAATGTTGAGCGAAAAAAAAATACTGAAGTAAATGAAAAAGCCTTTTTCGCATCAGAATAAGCTGATGGTGTATATTTGTTAGGACTGGAATGGCATTGTATCTTAATATCTTCTTGAAGAAAATCAGAAATCGATTTCAGACAAGTACCATTCGCAATTAGACCGATTAAAGGAAGCAATCGATAAAGAACGCCTGGAATTGACTAATTGAAAATATGGCGACTTCGATTGAGAGAACTCACGTCTCTTTGAGATCCGATAGAAATTTGTAGAGCCGGGCATGGTATGGCACCAGCTGTGCTCACCTAATATTG